ACAGCGACTCTGCGAGTGCGATGGCGGCGGGGCTGGGCGTGTCGAGAGGGGTGGTGAGATGGTGGGGGCGGATGGTGAAGAAGGCACCGAGCGATGCGGCCGCCATCTGCTGGATGTGCCTCTGGATGAAGGGGGAGGGCTCCGGGCGCGTAGGCACGTCGCACAGGAGGCTGAGGTCGAAGTACTCGGTCTCGTGCAAGTGCTCCTCGGAGAGGGTGATGCCGATGTCGACGGGGATGTCGGGCTTTACACACACGGTGCGTGTGAAGGTCTCGATCGCCGACAGGGTGGGGAAGATGCGCCTGTCGATGGGCTCCATCTCGAATTTGGCCTTGAACCGCTTGATGGACCGGCAGCCACGGTCGACAAGGGCGGTCTGCAGAAAGACACAGCCACAAGTGAGTCATGAGCAGTGCGAAGATTCTCTCTCTCTCTCTGTTTGCGTGTGGCTCGTCAGATACACACCTGGAGGCGGCCTAGTCCCTCACGCCACTCATCGAAGCTAATGAAATCATCCATCGCCACAAAGGTGAGCGTGCCGACATCCTCCAGCTGTGACAGCGGTCCAGGCTGGCCCGCCTCTGCCACCGGGAGGCGCCTCAGCGTGTTGGCCATGCTGTCGGGATTGGAATGCACCTGCAGCTCCTTGAGGCGTCGGGACGCCCCCACCATGTCCCCCAGCTCCCCACCTAGCGCCGTCCACTCTGTCTGGACCCTCTCGAGTGCTGGGAGACGCCACTTCCGCCGGCGGCCGGGGAACGCTGGCTGTCTAGGTCCACGAATCGAATCCTCATCTCCGGGGATGCCCGTGATGGATGTGAGGGATGTGAGGGTGGGGGGCGGGTCGAGGGGCGCGGGGAGGGATCCTTTCTTCTGCCGTCGTCTGATGCGCTGGAGCTCCCGACTCTCGTCGTCATCGATGGCTATCGCCGAGTTGAATTCTCTGTACTCGATGGACTCGAGTGTGCCCCCGGCCGGCTGCCCCGCTGCCGCTGCCGCGGCCCTCTGGCCCTCGCAATGCCCCTCTACCACCATCGGCACGACGGAACTCAGTATGTGCATCAAACATTCAGGGCTCTTGCGGCGCATAGCACGGCTGTCCCTTGGGATGGCGAAGAAGCTTGGGTATCGCGCGACGATGGACCTGAGCCGTGTGAGCCGCCGCCCCCACTCGAAGGCGTCAGCGAATGAGAGGCCGCACCAGAAGCGCCGCTCGGCGGTGTCGTGGGTGTCCATTACCAGCTGGGTGATCTGGCAGCCGACGTGGCGCCACAGCCGCTGGGGCAGCGCCGCCACCAAATGAAGCGACACGAACGAGAAGACGTAGGCAACAACAACAGGCTGAGTGGACAACACACACCACACAGAGAGAGCAGACAATGAGGATGTGTGTGTCTGCCAGTGGTTCGTTTGATGCATCTTACGATTTGGCTGAATCGCTGTGCGAAGGCCTCCAGATCTATCCTGTGTGTAGTGTGCGATGCCGTGACTGGCTGCTGCTGCTGCTGCTGCTGCTGGCCGTCGGTGTCCATCTCGGCCTCGCGTCCATCATCCAAGTCATGCTCCTCTCCCTCGACTGTCTGCCTCTGCCGCTTCAATGCCGACTCACTCATCGCTCCTCACCACCGGCCAAAGCTATGTCTTGACAGAAGCACCATGCTCTAGCCAACTGAGCCAACGGACCACTGGCTCCGCTGCCCCATCACTTTCCTGCCTACTTGCTTTCCTGCTTTCTGTCAACGTCCCATCTGCGGCCGTTTTGCTGTGCAGCCACCAACAGGCGAGGTGGCTCCCGCCGATGTACCAGGCCTTCTTTTGTCACCTCTCCCCTCACATCCAAGCTCGCATATCTCTCCGGGTGCTCGCGCGAAACCGCTGCTGCCTTCTCCTCGGCAGAGAGATTTCGAGGCTTACTCGGCCGCCTAACGACACCCGGCCTGCAGGATATCCCAGCAGCACCTTGAAATTGCCCTCCAAGCCACCATCTCCCCCATCAGTCCGGCGTTCTTTCTCTCCGGACGACTCTTCGCCGCTGAAGATGACGAAGATGCACCGGCTCTGCATCGTCCTCTTCTGCTGTTTCGTGCTCCTGATCCATGGGCGGCTGCCGAGATCCATCCAGCGCACTCCTGCACATGCAGCAGCAATCAACCAGCTGCGGCCGAGGCAAGCGGCTGACCATGACGATGCGGCTTTTGTTTTCCCTGCAGCTGCCGGCTGCGCACCGAGGAACGGCCCGTCATGTCGGTACATCAGCCCCTTTCCACCCCGTCATCGGCCGTCAACGGCGCTGTCCGACAGCGAGTCGTCAGTGTCCCCCACCCCAGTGGCCGTCAAGGCATCTACCCCGCCTCAATCGGTCTCCCCGCTGGCGCTGGTCTACATGGCGATGATGCTGGGCTCGTGGCTGGGAGGGGCCTATCTGTTGCAGGGGCTGCAGACAGCCACGGGAGCTGCATCGACCTTCCAGCGTCCCTTCTTCCTCACCTGGGTCACTCAGGTGGCCTTCAGTGGCATGCTCGTCCTGCAAAAGCTCCGGACGAGGGGCGAGGGAAGTGTGGCTGCCGCTGATGATCGGCCGTTGACGACTGAGGAGAGGGTGGGGAGGCTGCTGCTGGTGCCGAGGCGAGTGGTGAGGCAAGTGCGGCTGGGTCGGCTGGTGACCCTCTCCTCCATTCTGTTGCTGTACCGGTGGCTGTGGACGCTGAGCCTTCAGGAGACCGCTGTGTCCCTCAACACAGCCCTGTTCAACAGCCACGTCTTCATGGTGTTTCTGCTGTCGGCGATCTTCCTCAACGAGCGAGTGACGGCTGTCAAGCTGCTCGCCGTTGTGTGTGGGTCTCTTGGTGTGCTATACATGACTGGCCTGAAGGGGGTCTTGGGCGCCCTCCTTCCATTTGGCGCACGTGCTGCTGGCGCTGGTGCCTCGATCGGCAGCTGCAGCCTTCGTGGCTGCCTGCTGACGATTTTGTCCGCTGTGGCCTACTCCGTCTATGCGAGTGAGAGGAGGACACCGATTGCAGTGTGCAGCGACGGTCATGTGATGGATCTTTCTCTTGCTGTGCTCTGTGTGTGTGTGTGCAGTTGCGTACAAGCAGTGGGTGCCGGCCGAATTGACGCTAGATGTGGTCGCAGGACAAGGCACAACGGTACGCCAACACACGATGGATGCACACAAGATATCTGGCCATCCGACACACATGTGCATGTGCTGTCTGCCGTTTGGTAACCAGGCCTTGACTGCGCTCCCCCTGTTCCCCCTCCTCCACGCGACGTCAGTAGAGCGACTGGCCCTTCCACCGATTCCCTCCCTCATGCCCTTGGCAGCCCTGGCCGTCGGGGGACTGGCATATTATCTGTTTTACTCCCTGGCTCTCAGTCAGGCGTCGCCCTTGTTCGTGGCCATAGGCCAGATGCTGATACTTCCTGTTGCAGCTCTCATTGACACGTGTGTCAAGGATGTGAGGCCGTCCAGTGATGAGCTGATCGGTGCTGGCTTGATATTGCTGGCTTTTGGGGGTCTGGCCGGGGGAGGGAAGGGGAAGAAAGAAGATTAGACGGGCAGAGGGAGATGCAGAGGGGGAGGGAGAGGGAGAGGGAGGAGAGTGACAGTTTTCGGCATGTGAGGCGAGAGTAGGAGGCTTTTTCGGTAGATAGTGTGAGTGAGAGAGGCAGTCCATTTATGTGCCGTGGAGACATGCGTCCATGCAGCCATTTCTTGTCGTTCTCGAAGTGCGAAGTGGAAATGAGGCGACTGAGAAAGTGACCATGAATCGAACGAACCAAGGAACTGTCACACATGTCAACGAGACACATTGCGATACTCCGCACCCACCGACTGCAAAAAGAAGCAATGCCGTCCCCTCAGCCGTCACTCAATATTCACACCATGGCCCCTCATGTGTCGTACTGGTCGCATAGCTTCCGTACGTCCTCACTCTTCCAAAAGCCAATCGTAGTCAGCGAAGGCAGCTCGCCCTTCTCCCTTTTAGGCATCATTCTCTTGGGCGCACTCTTGAACCGCAGATAGCCCTCAGAGTAGTCGTCCTCGCCTTTCCAATCTTCACTCTCCCTCCGCCTACCCCACGGTGGTGTCTCTCTCATCCCCCACCCGGTCTGCCAAGACCTTTCCTTGGAACCAGACGACTGACCCCCCACAGGCCGCCAGCCACCAGGGCTCGTCAGCCGATGAAATGACCTCTTCTTCTTCCGCCTTGCTGGGCGCGCTTCGGGCGGGGCCTGGGCAGTGTGGGCGGGACTGGTGGGGCGTGACTCAAAGTCGTCTTCGTATTCGTCTTGCTCCGGGTGTGGCGGGAGTGGGGGAGACGACTCAACCGGCTGTTCGAGGTGGTGCGAGTAAGCCATTGATAGCCGTTTTAGCGTTGTCTCCAGCGTGTGCGCCACCCACTCGAGCCCATCCACCTGCCGCTGGCCTTCCTGAAGACTCCGCGCCCTCAGGACCTGGCTGCACACCTCCAGCAGCAGGTCTCGCACATTGATGGCACGATCGACGGGATCTTGCCCTCGTTGCGGCCTCCTTGATCTGGCGTTGGTGTCATCCGACGGCCGTGGAGGCGGGAAGAAGGGGGACGACGACGTAGACGGGCGACGGATGAGAGCAAGGAGCTCTGGCACCTCGTCCTGGACACGTCTCAGCACGTGACGGGGCTGGAGAAGTAAAAAATCGCCCGCTCCGCAGGCCGTCAGGCGGACGAGGTGCCGCACGTGGGGCGGCAGAGGGGGGTCCATGCGGTGCAGATGAAGAGCTATCCTGCACGGATGAAAGAGAGGGAGAGAGAGAAAGAGAGTGAGACATGCAGAAATGGATCGAAAGGCGGAGGAATGCAGTGATTTGGTTCTATCGTCGCACCAGAGAATCTCCTCTAGAGTAGCCCTGAGTGCCTCCTCAGGATCAGGTGGCGCTGGCGGCCCAACGTCCCATCCTTCACCCCCGCTGGGAGGCTGCAGAGAGAGGGCATACCCCTCTGTTGAATACACCGGCATAAGGCTGACAGGCATGAGCCGCACCATCGATGCCGGCCTACCCTTCCCCTCATCCCGCAACGCCACGCCAGCCAGCACTGTCGGCAGTGCACTAGAGCCTCGCTGCGCCCCTGCTTGTGGTGAGGGAGCTCGCGCATCGAACAGTGGCGGCCTCTGGGCAGCAGAGACGGGCCGTGAGAAACCGCCGGCAATGGATGTGGTGGTGCCAGAGGGGGGCCGGGTCGACACTCGCGAAAGCCGCTTGTGGCTGGCCTGAGACGCCGGCCGCAGGGCCGTGTCGGGCGAAGGCTCATGCTTCTTGAACAGGTCCAACGGTGCGAAGGGCAGACAGGTGTAGGGCTTCAGCTTGTTGGGAGGATGCACAGGCGAATGCGGTGCCACCTGCTGGTCTTCCTCTGTAGCTGGCCGCTGAGGCACATGCGGCAGAGCCAAGTAAAACGGGACGACTCCCTCTTCAGCTGTGTAGCGAGGCCGCTCTCGCCTCAGGTGTGCTTGGGACGAAGCTGGGCTGGATGTTGGAGCCTGGAGGTCATAGGCGCTCTCGTCGAAGGCCGTCTGTGGGGACGTCGACTGCACAAGTGAGTCGGGTGGAGGGCCTGGCCGAGGGGCCGGGGATGCGGAGGACGCTCGACGGATGATAGGCACGGGATAGACAGGGGCAGCCAGGCGCCTGCAGAAGTCTTGCTGCTCTCTCCACGAACGCCTCTCCTGAACACACATGAATTAGACACGCCATTTGTGGCCCGGCGCGTTTGTTGACTGGACGGCTGACCTGCTTCTCCGGCACGACAGCAATGACCTCCTGCCCGTCCTCCAGCACATGAGTGGTCAGCCCACACTCGTTCAGACACTGCACAAACCTCTCGCGATTGATGGATGTGTTGTCCGGACACACAGCGGCATCTCCATCACCCTCGCCCAATAGGGACATCGGTACCTTCTTCTTCCCAGCAGACGTCCCCAAAGGCCCAGAAATGTCCAGGCGCGATTTGGACTGTCCCAGGGTGCCGACAGACATGGACGAGGCCCCTCGCCGGAAGGATGAGCCGGAAGATCCCATAAAGAGACGCCGTGTGGACTGCAGCAGGTCATCCGAAGGGCCTCCAGAGCTGCCGGTGGCTGCCAGAGACCGACGGTAGGCCTGCATGAAGGCAGCTGCCGAGGTGTTGGTGCCACTGTCTTCATGCTTCTTCAGAGACTCCGAGATAACGTTCTTGTGCTCGTGCAGGTATGCCTTGTAGTCGTCGACATTGTCAGGGTGGATGAGCAGGAAGGACGCGTTGGTCTGCCACCGCTGATCGCCGTCTTTGGTCGCTCCGACCTGCAGGTCGCTCTCATCGGTCTGGGGAGCCTCAATACCCAGATGCGATCTCAGTTCTTTTCCAGTGAGGCCTTCGAAAGAGCCACGATGAACTGCCCGAGCCACAGATGGTCTGAAAGACCCGTTTGGGACACCCTTAAGGCTGCGTCGGCTTGTCCCTTCCGCTTCTTTTGCTTCTCTGGTCGGCGATTGAGGGCTGCCGGTCTCCTCAATGACGCTTTCGAGGTTGGTCCTCCCTCGATGGTAGGAGGTCTGAGGCGTCTCCTCGACGAAGCGAAGTCCAAGCGTCTTCGTCGCCATTCGGGGAGACGGGGGGCGTGGGGGGGCGTCGCGAGCTGAGACGCCGGAACGACCTCACGATCGAACTCATGGAATGGCCGGATTCGAACACGCATTCACGCAACACATGAATGCGATGAGCTCCTCACGTATCCTCCCATGTGGTCCTCCTTCTCCCTTGCCTCTGCCTGCCGCCCCCACCTTCGCCTTTGATGCTGCTGCCTTTGCTTTGTACTTGGCTGTGTTCTTCTGCCTGGCTCAGCGATCATGGAGTGTACACCCGCTGAGGCTCTCTGGCAGCCGTGCCGTCGTCTTGCTCTCCCTCATACTTGACCTCCTCCGGCTGGTTTGCACGAATGTCCGACTGCTGCAGAGATGCGATACTCGACACGCCCATGCACAGGTCAACCACACAGGAACGCAGTCATCCGAACCACAGCCTCTCGCCCCTTGTTTTTCATGTCGTGGTTTATTCTTGTTGAGAAGCCCCTCACGCGGCCGGTCGCCCCGACGCTCTTCTGTGCCGGGCGGCTGCTGGGGCGATCCTCCTTCAAATTGAACAGATGCAGCAGCTGCACACAACAAGACCGATGGAAGCAACGGCAGACTGAGGGGAGATGGCCAAGGTCATCCATCTGTCTGGCTGTCTGCTCACCTGACTCTGTACTGACACGTGTTTTCGATGTCGTTCGTGCTATGCTACCGTGGAAGCAATAGACACGACTGCAGCCAGCTGTAAGCTGAAAGACAAGAAATGGATAGAATGCACGCACAGGTCAATGTCCATGTGTGTCCATCAGATGGCCTTGCAGGAGGTGAGGTGCGAGTGTGTGCCGTGCGCACGTGGATGAACGATGAAATGGTATGGTGTCACAGTGTGGCATTGGCATCGCACAGGCATTGAGGATTTGTGTAGGTGTATCAGATAAGCGCACGGGAAGGATACATGGTCAGTCTGTTACATGTTGCAATTCAGAAGCCATAAGAGGCATGTCTCTTGCTCTGTAAGAAGCTGACAGTCTGTTGCTCGCGAAGGATCCACGATGTGCACATCAAGCTATCGTCGACGAGTGACGCCTTAGAGCCAGAGAAAGCTCACTCATACCACAAACTATCAGGGATCATGGACACACTTCCACTGGATACCTGCAACGCAGCAGCAAAGTAAGGCAGCCAGGAGAGACACTTCCAATAAAGAATCCACAAAAGGTGGCAAGCCAGGGCCCTACCTGAGATCCCCTCATCATCGTTGTTCCCTTCCTGGACGCTATGCTTTCGACGGTGTGATGGGGCTTTGTTCCCCGCTCTTCTCGGTCGTCTCTGTGACACTCAAACCCCCCGTCCCTCCCTCAGTCGATATCTCGTCAGAGTTGTCCGCTGCCTCGTCAAGTGCCTTTGAGGGCTCGCTGTCGTCAAAGTCTCTGAACGTCCTCCTGCCGAATTTCACAAAGCCGCACTGCCATGCATAGAGAAGGGCGATGAGTAAGACTGCAGCAGCCGCGCCGGCAATGGACGCCCAGCGTATCCACGCCTGACCGCTGGACTTGTCGCCCTCGGCCTCTCCCGCCGAAGCCCCCCACTCTTGCCCCACCAGACCACACGAGGGGTCATCCAGCGGGCATTTCACCACGGTATCTTCCTCGCTCTTCTTCAGGAAAGTCTCAGAGTCCTGGGCAGTCGCCAGGAGTGAGGGATGATGGTGCACCAGCAGAACGAGGATGCTCAGCGTCACGGTGACCGGACAAAACATTGGGGGGTGAGTGGAAAGCATCAACAAACCAATGCAAGAAACCGTCAGAAACGCAGGCGAAACCGGGGCTGCGAGCTTAGCTTGTGGGGGCCCGGTGGGCGGCAAACTCCCCGATCGAGGGGACACTTTAGCGCTGAACTGCCGATGGGATGCGTTGCTGGCTGTTGATCTCCGTGAGCCTTTTCAATGTCCTTCCCGCCCCAATCTCTGCACAACAAGGCAACTCTGCAATGGAGGAGCCTCGAAGGTACGGTTGGTCCATCCTCGAGCAGCTGCAAGTCGGCCCTATCGGCTTCCCCATGCTCATCCCGCCGCCATTTGCACTGCCAAGAAGGAGCCTCGGGCGGGCAGCCAGCCAACCTCAGCCAAAACTCAGTCCCGAGTACTCGTCGGTGTTTGGCATATATCAAGACGACAACCTTGCTGGGCTGCTTGTAGGCACGATGCATTTGCCTGTTGCCCAGCTGATGGAGAAGGGCATGTATAATGTGAGCTTTGTGGAGGCCGTCGTCGACCGAGTCGACCCTGATGCATTCTATGGAGGTGAATTTGTTGAAAACATGGCCCGAACAATGGATTTCGAGTACGTCTGTGTGCATGCTCTTGTCTATGGCGGGCTGCAGAGGTGGATAAGTTCAACGAGACAGCCGAGGAGCTCACTCGCAACTGCACCAACCTACCCGAGGGCCAGACAGTGGAAGAGGTGCTGGACAAACACCCTGCCATCCTGGTAAGCCTTCAGTGAACATGCACCGACCTGCCATGAACACCACTGGCTCTGCTGCTGCAGGCATTATTCCGCCGGTTGCTGGGGATCATCGAATGTGTGAGCCCCAAGTGGGCCAGGAGTATCAATCGCAAGGTGCTGCCCTGGGTCGAGTTCGACCTCATGGACTTGATCCTAAAGGGCTACGGCTTCGATGAGAGGAGGGTATTCGACTACCATCTGGCGGTGCTGGGCAGCCAGCGGGGCAAGCCGTCAGGATCGCTCGAGACAGCCGAGTATCGATGTGACATGTGGAGAGGTCAGACAGATAGTGCACGTCAAAGACGGAGGGAGGCACGGTGTCTGCAGTGTTTGCCCTCCTTTCTGGGACTGCAGGGCAGGTCAATTACGTGTCTCTGTCGACCACGCTGGGTCAGCTGTACGTCCGCTTGAAAGCTCTCGAGGCCATGACGGGCGGATTCGCCACCATCCCCATCGCCCCAAGCAACGACACAGCTCAGCGGCTGGTGGCCAACTGCACTGACCCGGCAGCTGGGGTGCAGGTGGGCGGCGTCGGTCTCGATGTGGCGTCCAAGAAGTTGTCTTCAGCCGACATGGAGTTCCCAGAATCTGTCAAAGAGCTGGAGAGGAAAGAGGGTACGCCGGTCCGCCACGCTCAGATATGTCTCGCCTGACCGTTGCCCCTCCGGTTGTGTCTCGTTTAGGTAGCGACAAGGTGACGTCTGACAGCTGGGTGGCGCAGTCGATCGTCCCTCGGAACCGATTCATGGCCAAGAAAATCGACGGGGTCATCCGGCGGCCCCCATATGAGTCGGATTGCCCTTCTCCTGTGCCCCTGTTCTTCGCTGGCGACCTGCACGTGACGCCCACGACGTTCTCACCCAATCCTATTTTTCACCCCTCCCTGCCCGCCCTGTTGCGCGATGAGAAGGGGTACGGTGTGCGGAGGATCAAGCGGCTGGACGACGTGCCCGCCAAGAGAGAGCGGTGTGGTGAGAATGGAGGCAGCAGCCTGCTGAGGCGGCTGGTGGGGGATATGCGGGCTGCGAGGCTGCTCTTTGTCTGACGATGCTTGATGGGATGGATGGGGGCAAATGTGTGTGTTCTCTAGTATTTGCGCGTGTGTGTGGTGTCGCGACCGTCACGATGCGTGTGTGTATGTGAGTCGATCGACGCGGGTCGTCATATCATTCATGTGTAGAAGGATATGACTCTTGTACTCTTGTACTCTTGTATGTCTACATCACTCGACCGTCAACTCTACAGCCGTCCGTCCGTCCGTCCGTCCGTCTGTGCCCCCCCCCCCCCCCCCCCCCCCCCCCC